TGGAAACTCTAGCTTCCAACCACGATCCCCGACCCATATAATGTCATGAGTTACACGGTTGGCACTACAAGGCCTCATAACTTTTTCAGCAGTAAGGTTAAATCTCCTTACACCACCTATCTTCACTGCTAAAATCCACTGTTTTGAACCAGAAAGTTCCATAGCAATAGTGGCTCCTTCTTGCCTGTAACACTTGTCTAATTCAATAACCAATATGTTGGCAGAACAGCTTGTTGCATCTATATCCTGCGTCAATTCCACCAAAGCAGATTTTAGTTCTTTGATGCTTGGTGTGGAGATCTTCTGACCCGAACTCCTAAGTTCATACCGAGAAGTACGAGAGGAAAATCGGAGGCCATTACGTCTTAACCTCAATCGGTCAGAAGCCAAAGCACCAATAACATCCTGTGAGCCAAAGCAAGAACGCCTGCCTCTCCTTGAACTCAAAGAGCTTCTCCTCTTCTGAATACCACGACTGTTCCTTAGCTGCAAGTGGTGGGCAGCTAATTTAGGAACTCCAACAGTTGCGTGCACCACTGCAATCTCCCCATCATACATTCCAGACGTGGATACATCCAATCCAGATTGGTTATTCACAGGGATAAGGCAAGAAACAATCTCCTTCTCGTTAGTCACATTAGTTTCCTCAACCATAACTGTAGAATACATGACCAATGCATAGGACATGTGAATAAATCTGAGAAGCATGCTTGAGTGCAAGTATATAAAGCAACACGGGACTGTAGAAAAGTCCAGAGCAAAAACAGGAATCGAGCATGTGACACCAGCGATAAAGCAAGCTCCAGTTTTGATTTTCCTTGGAGTCTGATCCTGAAGTTGCAGAAACATCAAAAACAACAAGGTTAGTAACCCTCACTAAAATTGGGGCATCAAAAAACAAAAGGAATGGGGGGAGGGGGGTAAAAGGCGAAGGCTCAATCGAGCAAATGAATGCCGGGTAAAGCAGTAGTGACAAAATAATACCTGTAGAAGGAGGATACCGTGCAATGAAGAAACGTCCCTCAAGGGTTTTGAGTTAATGAATCCAAAGATTTGCTGCAAACTAATAGTTGACTTCCTCAAGTACCTTAAAACACAATTCAAAAGGCAGGAAACCCAATAACTGCTTCCACATGATGTATTTACAATAACAATGCCAGTTGATATTTGACCCTCTTCAGATTTATCTGAATCCTTAGCATAAGCTGCCCTAACTTTTTTCTTCCTAACGAAGTGCTTGCCATACCTCTTGCCCTCTGTTACCGTATCACCTTTCCCCGATTCATGCCTTTTCCTCTTCCTCGTATATACAGTTCCCCACCTCCTAAAACTATTGCTATTCGGATTAATGATTGGTGTCTCCGGTTCAGCCATTGCCTTAGTCTCTACATCAATATCCGTTTCTTGGTTAGTGTCTTGCTTTGGAGCACTATCCTTCTTAAGCCACCCGTTTTCCTTGTACTTAGTGGCCCCACCACCACCACCACCATCTCTTCCTACATTGTCAAGAAGCTCAATCCACTCATTTCCGTGTTTCGCCCTCTTAACCTCCTCACCTGGGGTCCACAACCGCCTTCCTGACCTCAAAACCCTCGCCCCAAAAACCCTTGTAGTCCTTCTCATCCCTACCGAAGGCATCAGTGCTCGCACCTCACAAGGCAGTACCCCTGCCCTCGAACCAATCGTTCCCCCTATTTCACTACTGTTCCCACCCAAACTTGGTTGGGATCGAGGTGTCGTTCTTCTTCTTGTTTTTTTCACTGCTGTTACTACCAAAACTCAAGTATTACAGAAACTTTTGCAATTTCTCACACATGCAAGTACAAAGCTATTTTCTTTAAAATTTATCTGTTCTTAATCTCATATACCCAAAACCTTGCTTATTTTCCGAAAGAAAACAAAAAGAAACTACTTGAAGTCCTGTTATTTTCCAAACAACCTCAAGAAATGCTAAGTAACCGACATAACTCTTTTTTTTCCTTAATCAGTGAAGACAACAAACACGTGAAAAATTCAAACCCCAGTTCAGTCCTAATTAGATTTGAATGTCTTCACTTCAGGCCGCCCCCATACGGTGGTTAAACTGCAAACTGCACTGAGTAGCGATGAAAAATGGAAAATCATTAAAAAAAAATTTAAACAAGAATCAGTATGATAAAAGAAAAGGGTACCAGTTTTCTTTACATAAAAGAGTTGATCTTTGACATAAACAGAACAACAAGATTTTTAAAAGTACCTGTAACGGCAGAAGAAGACTGATCGTCTAAGTAAAAGTTCCACAGAAGAGAAAGAGAGAGAGAGAGGGTGGGGGTTAAAAGGGGGGTGGGCGGTGGAAGATGGTGGGAGTGAAGAGGTAGTTAAGAGTCGGCGTTTTCATATACAGAGAGAGGTAAAGAGGAGAGTGGAGTTCACGATTCAAGATTAGGGTTCTTCAACGATTCACTCTCTTTTTTTCTCTCTCTCACTCCCTCTGTACATTTTTGTACTTGTCAATTGAGGCCCATAAGGTTTAAGAAATATCATTTAAACCCCTATTTTGGTGTTTGAAATATTATTATGTGGCCCCGTATGTTTCTGTAAATTGCAAATATGGACCATATGAGATATTTATTATTTAGCTGGAACCCACACAAAGATACACAGACTGACACCACCATATATTGTATAGTATCAGGGTCCTTTTCTTTTTGTTTTTCTTTTTTCAGCTTTCCCTTTTTTCCCTCTTCTTTTTTCACACCATATTTTTGGCGGGTAAGCCCAGACCAAATTTGGCCCACTGGGAAATTAGCCCAGCTGGCACTACACGGAGGCCCTTCAATTTATTATTTTATTGAAAATTTTAAAATAAAATAATATTTACCAAATAGATTATGTCAATTGTCATCTATCGGAGCAGGCACCTTAGAATGGAACTGACATGATTTTTTACTATTAACAAGAGGTCTCGGTTTAGCGTTGAAACGAAAAATTTCTAATAAGGAGCGATTTTCCCCTTTATTAACTTTACCTAACACAAATTCAAATTAGTCAGGGCAAAGGCAAGTAACGAACACCAAATGGATAACCAAAAAAAAAGTGGACTTGTAAGTTCCTGTACAGCAAAGAGATTAAGAGAACACTTAACCATGCTCCATCTCCACATTTTAATATTCGTATAAGTACTTTATTTTAAAAATCAATCAAACTTTTAAATATTCAAGAAAATAGTTTGTAAAGTACGAACATGTATATGGTCGAAGTCTGATTTCGTAGGCACGAGGAGCTGCCTCGAGAGTAAGCTCGTAATAGACCAGGCTCGAGCTCAATGGCAGAGTATGGAGCATGAAGATCGAAGTGCTCACTGAAGATCGAGACCGAGCATAATAACGGAACGGCGAGATATTAGCAATCGACCAAAGATCTCGACGGAAATTTTGAAACAGATCGAATCAAGCGGTTATTGACACCAATCATGGGATTTGTTTCCGTTATTAGAATTGTACCTTATTAATTAGGATTCATCTACTATATAAAGAGGGATCTCATTCATTTGTAAGGAGGATTTTTTGACTGATAAGAATATACACAAACGTTGCTCTATATTTTACTTACTATCCATTATTGTTCATCATTGTTTACTTTATGTTTTTACTGTTCTTGTTACCCAACCTCGAGGCCATCTCGAATCTAGGTCGAAAGCACTGCTAGAACACTGATTTGATTTATTTTACTATTCATATTATCTATTCAATTCCTTATTTATCAATTAGTATTGGATTAAATCATGTATCCTTAAAACCACTAAATAAGTTTAATTGTTACTCGAATTTTAGGGTAAACAGTTTGGCGCCCACTGTGGGCTAAGGATAATAGTGATTTTTCAGTACTGATTCTGGTGAAACACATTATTCTACGCTTGTTCTTGTCAAGTATCTTTGCTTTCACGTTAAAACATGTCAAACTCACAAAACGCATTCGCACATGGTGACAATGGCCTCGGATTCCATGGTGAAAACGAAAATGTGATTGCTCCAGGAATCGAAGTGCCACAGGCTAATCATAGGGGAGCACCGATTGCCAACCCCGTCGATGTCAGTTCGCACGTTGCTCTAAATGCGGACCTAGGCGCATATCTCGATGGGAGTGTACGCAGAGAAGGTCGATCTAGTGGCCAAGGAACACAGGGCAGAAGAAACGAGGGAGTCAGTCTCCAAGTAATATTTGAGATGTTTCAGGCTTAGCAAGCCGCTATTGCTCAGTTACAAAATCAACATAGAGCTCCGAATAGGGTCGAACCGGAAATTACTCGTCGTACCGAGCCAATACCGGAGAGGCCGAAAGGTAATGAATCGGGAACTGATCTTGCGATAATTAAAATGCTGGAGGAGCTCACCAAAAGAATTGAATCAGGGGAGAAGAGAATCGAAGCCAACGATAAAAAGGTGGAGACATACACCTCTCGAGTTGATCAGATACCGGGGGCACCGCCAATCTTGAAAGGGAGGGATTCAAAGAAGTTTGTACAAAAACCCTTTCCTCCAAGTGCGGCTCCGAAGCTTATTCCAAAGAAGTTTCGTATGCCAGACATACCCAAATATAATGGTACCACTGATCCCAACGAGCATGTTACTCCATATACATGCGCCATCAAGGATAACGATTTAGAGGATGATGAAATCGAATATGTGCTGTTGAAAAAATTTGGAGAGACCTTTTCGAAGGGAGCAATGATTTGGTATCACAACCTGCCACCAAATTCTATCGACTCATTTGCCATGTTAGCAGATTTCTTTAGTAAAGGCACACGCCGGGGCCATAAAGGTCGAAACAAGGAGATCAGACCTTTTCAAGGTAAGACAAAGGGATAATGAAATGCTGAGAGAGTTAGTGTCCTGATTTCAAATGGAACGCATGGAGTTGCCACCGGTCACAAATGATTGGGCCGTTCAAGCGTACACCCAAGGGTTGAACGAGCGGAGTTTGATAGCATCACATCAGTTGAAACAAAATTTGATCGAATATCCAGCTGTAACTTGGACAGATATGCATAATCGATACCAATCGAAGATCAAGGTCGAGGACGATTAATTGGGAGCCCCTTCCGGTTCAGCACATCCAAACAGGTCGGTAGTTTAAAACCAGAGGGACGTTGACAGGGAGCCAAGGTCGAACAGAGACCGATATCAACCATATACCGCAGATCGAAGGAACAATAAGGATAATGGTTCAGGACACAATTCCGGCCGGAACGATCGGAGAAGTGATCGATGACAGAATTTTCGGGGACTTATGAGCAAGAGTGGTTTTGACAAGTACGTCGATCCTACAGAAGCACCTCGATTATCAAAATATAACTTTAGCATTGATGCATCAGGCATTGTATCGGCAATCGGAAGGATCAAAGATACTAGGTGGCCTAGACCCATACAAATTGATCCTTCTCAAAGAAACCCAAATTTGATATGCAAGTATCATGGCATGCATGGTCACAAAACCGAGGATTACAGGCAATTAAGGGAGGAAGTAGCCCGTCTATTCAATGAGGGCCACTTTCGAGAGTTTCTCAGCGATCGAGCCAAGAATCATTTCAGAGAAAGAGACACCAACATGAAAAATGAATAGGAGGAACCCCAACATGTCATTCATATGATCGTCGGTGGGGTCGACATTCCACAGGGACTCGTATTCAAATGCACTAAGGTATCAATCGCTAGGGAAAAATGAACCCGAGATTATGTGCCCAAAAGCACTTTATCATTCAACGGCGAAGAAGCAGAAGGCGTTTCTCAGCCCCACAACAATGCTCTGGTAATTTCTATCGTATTAAATAAAGTTCAAGTTAAGCGTGTTTTAGTAGATCCAGGTAGCTCGGGGAATATCATCCGATCGAGGGTCGTGGAGCAGCTCGGCCTACAAAATCAAATCGTGCCCGTAGCTCAGGTCCTAGACGACTTCAATATGGCCAGTGAAACAACTAAAGAGGAGATTATTCTATCGGTGAACGTGGCTGGAACCATTCAAGATACTAAGTTCCACGTGATCGAGGGCGACATGAGGTACAATGCCCTACTCGGAAGGCCTTGGATCCACAATATAAGAGCAGTCCCTTCGACTCTCCACCAAATGATGAAATTTCCGACAACAGATGGTGTAAAAACAATATACGGGGAGAAGCATGCTGCAAAGGAAATATTTGCGGTCGATGAGGTAACATTGATATCGACACTATCAACCTCGAAAAGGTCGAGCATCAAAGATAAACATGAAGTCAAATAGCAATCACAGCCACCGGCCTCGACCGAATCGGGGAAGCGGGAGATAGAAGAAGAAGAAGAGGAGGATTTTTTGACCCCTCAAACTTTTGTTGTTCCCGAAGATACTGATGCCACCAAATCAACGGTCGAAGAGCTGGAACAGGTTATATTGATCGAGTACCTGCCCGAGCGAAAGGTATACCTGGGAACCGGATTAACCCTCGAACTCAGGAAAAAACTTATTCAATTTCTTGTTGATAACATAAATTATTTTGCTTGGTCCCATTTAGACATGACAGGGATTCCACCGGAGGTAATGGCACATCGGCTAAGCCTGGACCCTAGATTCAAACCGGTGAAGCAAAAGAGAAGACCCCAGTCCGAAGTAAAGCACGCATTCATAAA